GGAAAAAGGGGAGGAATCCCGTCCGCCTACTTATTATTCTGACCAATATGGTCAGATCCTTTTTTGAGAAAAAATCTCCAGACTAGCTTTGCTGACGAGATTGATTAGTGCCGCACTTTGACACCTTAACAGCTGCTTCCCGGTACGGAAATAGCTGCCCCATAGAAGATAGGCTTTATTTCACGTAGCTGACTTTACCGTCAGCTCCATTTTCATAGTTTTTCGCTATGTTCGCAGGCAAGTGAGACGATCCATCAATGAATGCCCTTATCTGCTTCGAAAGAACCGGTGTCATCCAAACATGGTGAAGAGGTGGCAACTGGATCAATAATAGCTGAAACTTCTACTGTACAGGGTTCGGCTTGCCCAACTGTCCAAGCTCAAGGGAGATCTCTTTTAGAATATAGAAAGCAGACTCAAGGTGCGAAGTAGCTTTCATCATGAGGAGTCGTAGGGCGAAAGGAGTAGAAAGAAATGAATTCCTACAAAGAGGAAGGGGTCGAATGCTATAGGTAATGCATATGATATGGAGGGAGAAAGCCTTTCGCTTTTATTCAGTTTTTATGTATGTATCGGCTAAAATTTCTACTTTAAGGCACCTCTCTTATAATAACCGCCTGCCTTTCTTTAGGGCTCCCATATGCCAATCCATCCGGCAAAGCTACATAAAAAAAAAAAGCATGCTTCGGAGAGTTCAAAAAAATAGATTCCAAAGGGACTGGCTCTGAAAGAATAGGACTTATTATACCATGAACGGACTCCTTGTCAGGAAGAGATAGAGAGAAGGCTTTCCTGGCTTCTCTCTTTCGCCTTCTCGATGCATTGCTTGGGTCTTCATTGGGCACTAGTTGTGCACTAGCTCTTCGGTGTGAATAAGAAAGTGTCAAGTGATTGACTCTTTCGGAGGTGTGGCTAGCTCTGGGTCAGCTGTAAACTCTTGTTCAAGGAGTGAGGGAAAAGCAATTAATAAATTTAACAGGCAAAGGGCCAAGGTGAGAAAGACCAATTAAATCAATTTCATAAATATGGTCTCCTCTTGTCATCCCGGAAAGAATCTCTGCTCTGCTTGTTCACTCCCGATACGCCTAAGCCGAATAGAGGGATATGGTGTTTACCTAAGTGGAACGGCAGCGCAAGCTCACTCTTGAAGAGACTTACATACCACTAGTCGTTTTTGTTTGTGTATTGAATTTTGTTTATGCTCTCTTCTGTGGAAAGTAATGAAAATGCTTCGGTGGTCAGGCTCTTAATGTTTATTGTATATTTATGGTCCTTCCATTAACTACTCCTTGCTCCCACACCAGACGCTACTACTCCTTCGGACCCTGTTGCTTAGTCCGTTCGTGTGGTACCTTTGACTCTTTCTGGTGCTGCGCTGCTTAAAACTAGGGTCCGTGAAGGTAAGGATTGCTTTCAAAGGTAATGGACGGTCAGGATGACGGGTGCTTCACCTCCCTTTCCTTTCATGGTCCGGGTTTGTTTGCTTCTGCCCGGGCTGGTGACCTTTCCGATGTTGCGATGATCTGGGTGGCTGCCCCTGCTCGGAAATGGGTCCATATGTATGTGGGTTCAGGAGGAGGAGGACTTCGACTCCCAACTCTTTCTTGATCAGAGAGTTGCTGCTCTTTGAATGTCAACAGCTTGTTGATTCCTTGCGATAAGTCAGAAAACGTCCACCATCGGACATATTCCAAGACCATCTTGCCCTCTCTGTCATCCGGCATTCTCACGAAAGCAGCCCCGGTGCCCTTTCTCATCATATGTGCCCAGTACCCCGCCAGTTCCGAAAGGTTAAAGATGACGCGCTTGACGTTGTGACCGGGTGCCGGAATGAATTGGTCAAAACAAAATGGTCTTGCAAACCGGTGGGGATTTGACGGTTCTGCCCGAAGTTGCCCTGTCGTAACGTCAGAATGCCGCATCGCATGGAGATCTGATCAGATACTATCCTGGATGCATTTTCACAACAGCAATAAGTAGCAAGGGCCCTTTTCATCGACCTTGTCGACCAATCATACACAAGATTTAGGGCCTCTCTTAAATACCATGTAGGGCCGCCACGTGAAGCTCCTCGGATGGTATTTCAACGGATAATGCGGATAGAGTGGATGGACGCCTAGCCGAGAATCCACGGACACCTATGCTACCTGCCTTTACGGAAGAGGTGAGGCTCCAAATCCTTAGAAATCAGTCTTTCATTCCCGGATCTCCGAACATTACACCTTGTAGAACTTTAGTAAGTAAGGGAACCTCTGATAGCCCCAGTGAAAGAGACTGCTCAACCTTGACTGGACTGCCATAACAATTGATGGGTAGGAGCCTACTCTAACTAAGAGCAGCTTCTCCTCCACCGGAACCAGGTTCCGATGCGATGCTTGCTAGGACCAGGAGATGAGAGATTTGAGAAGGGCTTTTCACACCTCAGAAAGCAGATAAAGCTAGCTCATTCGAACCTGCAAATAAGGTAGTGATGCCTCTTAACCAAAAGAGGGGGCGCCCTACTTAAAATAAAAAGCCCTCCATCTATCGATTCTTGAGATGCGACTGAACTAAGACCTGTACGTGTACGGTGTTTAGAGTGAAGACATACGCTTTCTGAAACAGAGAATCTCCACCCTAGCATGCATTTAACGTCCTTAGCCCGCATTGATCAATATCAATAAGAATAGCAGTCGTATAGGTATAGGTTAGTGCTTCCTTGCTTGCATCCTTTCCTCTCTTTCTTATAATGAAATAGATATAGATGTCTCGACTGCCGAATCCTTATCCTGCAAACAACTCGATTCTGTTGATTCACTGTCCATTTGTCCTTCAACCGGATTAATGGTCAACGACTTTGACAGCCTTTCCTTCACACAAGGTTTTTCATCCTTCTCCCCCGCTTAGGACAGAAAGGGGAAGTAGCGAGATTACGATTCCTTCGTGGGAAATCAACGAAGGCAGTCGCTCCAGCAGCTTTAGTACTTAGTGAAGGCCCCAGCCCTTAGCCCGGTTCTTCTCCGGCTCCACCAGCAGCCTTTCTCAGCTGCTATGGTTCCCTTCCCGCAATGCGAATCTCTATCTCTTTGCGGCTACGGCCTATTCTAATAGGACCCATATTCAATCTCTTAAGTGACTTCTTAACACTAGCTAGCTCTGGACCTACCTATATTAGCCATGAGCGATCGCCAAGCGGAGTTGAAAGAAAAGTGAAAACATGGCCTTAAAAACTTATCTAAACGCGACCGCCCGGTTTAATGAGAAAGAAGCTAGATCCTTCAAGCCTATGTAGATGACTTGAATAGTAGGGTTCAAGCCCAGCAGGAGTGCATCCAGGCCAGGTTATTCGCAGGGAATATCAAAGACTTTAGGAGGAGTTGGTTGAGGGCCTATATTTCTTAGATCGAGTGACTGGCCCCTAAAGGGCGGAATTGACTTCTATCTCTGTTGGTTGGCGATTTGCCTTTGAGCGAGTAAAGTCAATCCTATCAGCCTGTCAGCTCAGCCAGTGAAGTTACTTCCGTTCTTGGTTCACTTTACGATGGAAAAGTCTATCTTCTTGTTGTTTTAGTTCTTTCCTTCTCTGTCTTTGAAAAACTGCCCTTTCGTAGTCAGAATTTCGTGGAAAGAAAGTTAGAGGGAAGATTCTTTAACGTTCGTGGCAGTGAAGTAATGAATCCTATTTTCATTCTTAACTCTTTTTAAGGAGTGAAGCGCGTTTATAATGTAAGCAAAGACTCTTTATTACGGTCTCCGGAGAGAGGTCTGAGAAAGATCACCCCTGCGCGGGGACCTAAGCCCGGAATTCCATTTATTTAGGAAGATGAAGACTTTTTCGATTCCTACATCTTCCCCCCAACCACAGTCGTTAGTAGTATGGGCCTTTTAATTCCTTGCTTATGGATGGGAACATGCCTTCTGTTAACCTCCCCTCCGGAACTTATTCAACCAATTAGTCAATCCGCCTTTCCTTTCACTCTGCCTCTTTTTCCTTTTGATTTCTCTGGGTTGGGACTTGCGATTGATTCGCCGAGCGGGAGTGACATGACTTTTGCTATCTATGATGGTTCGGGAGTTATTGAAGCAAGCAGTAGTCATAGTGCTGGTGAGCAGGAGTCAAGTAATCCGAACGTTGCAGTCTTTTTGGGAAGCATAGTTTTGGTTGTCTTACTGGCCGGAATGCTTGCTTCCAGGATTGAATAGTGATTGGGCCTATCCTATCTAATTAGTGAGTATTTGTAGAGCCTTTTGCCGCGCTTCTTTATGTTTCTCTTTATCGATCGGGACGTCTTTTTATTTGGTTTTGAATCCGGATAAAATTCAACACGTACATGAAGTGGATTGAGAGATGAGTCTAAGGTTCAAAGAAAGGCTTTAGCGCCTGAGATCAAATCCCTCCTAATCACTAGAACCACATTTGACCGAGGGGATGTAGAGGGGAATTGAAATCCTCATTCTAATTTTTCTTTTTCTATCTATGGTTCGTGCTTTCTTATCCGAAGGGGAAAGCCCCGGCCTACAGCACCGCTATGAGAAATCCCAACCCAGAGAAAGGAATTTCACCTCTTCTAGCCCTTTCATTTCATTTCATTTAAATAGGGCGGCTAAAAATAGCTAGTATGAAAGAACTGACTTTCTTCTTGAAAAAGGAAATCTGATTCCATAGTCAAGGCTGAGACAAATTCTGTGTTTACTTCGCGATAGCCTTAACTTGACATTATCAAGCCATACTATCTACCAAAATGGATTTTAAACTGACATTCTATCCTATATATAGGAGATATAAGGGTTGCACTTCCGCTTATGGTAACTGAACTTGGTAACCAAACTCTTTCCCGGCAAGAAGATCCAACATTTCCTTCGGGCAAGTTCAGCTATAGTTGGGAAAGGAACGACTTTATGGGGATGCCCGTCTTGAACTTATAATTGATGTATGATAGAGCCTCCGGCATATAGGCCTATCTCGCTTTGACTCTTCTCACGAATTGGATTTGAACCAATATCTCCGGGCGACTTTCCTTTTAGTCGATCGTGAGTGGGTCTGTCGTCCTCCTAATTATAGTCCTCCTAAAATCAATAGCATTTCGTCGGAAAACATCCTGTCTTTTTACCTGAGTAGTCCTATGCATAGTCAGTACTATAGCCCCAATCATGGCAACTAATAAAATTAGACTAGGAACCAAAAACCAGACGAAATAGTAGGTATAAAGTAAATTGCCCAATGTTTCCAAATTAGTCCAACTTCGTACCTTTCCGGCATAAACCGTATATCTAAGAGAGGTCGTCTTTCTTTGGGTTGGTAGTAATGGAATGGTTTCATTATCTAAAATGAAGAACATTTCCCACCAAAGGATCAGTCCAATAATACCACTCACTGGTAAATAGCGCAAGACTTCTTCGTGAATCTCAGCTATTTGAATATGGAACATCATAACAACGAATAGGAATGAAACGGCTATAGCTCCTATATGAACTACTGGGAAGATCATAGCGGAGAAGTCGAGACCTAACAAAAGAAGTAAACCTGAAGTGTCGCGAAAGACTGGGATGGGAAACAAAACGGAATGTACCGGATTTTTAGCACGTGCAACCATCAAACCAGAGACCAAAGCAGGGCTCGACAAAACAGAAAGTATCATGGTACGTCGTCCTTCCCTGAAATGGAACTTTCATGCTGGAGCAAGAACTAGCATGAAAGTCGATCTATTACGACCAGCGCGGTTGTTCGTATTTCATTTTCTTATTCCAAGCCTTACATGCACTAAGTGACTTATATCCACAGTAAGGGCTATTCTAAAATGCCCATTCCTGTATCTCTTTGGTCAGCCTCTGGTTTTAGCTATGTCGCCAGTCCAGTAGGGAGACCACTTACTTCATTAAATTATTTCCGATAAAGCGCGAACCAAGATCCGTGATACGAAAAACACCATCCGATTTCAAAGTAGCACGATCTAATTCAAAAATTTCACCTAATTGAGCGCGTCTAGCATATTTTTTCACAGTAGTGGGATCACTATAACCGACTCCATTGAGTTCGCCGCCATAAAACTCAACGGTTACACCTACTTGTTCAACACTATACTTCGATTCTGCCCTTCGAAAAGGAACATCGGCTCGAACAATTCCGTCTCCGTCTACCAAAACAACCGGAAATGTTTCAAAAAAGGTAGGCATACGACGTACAAAAAGTTCACGTCCCTCTTTATCTCGAAAAATAGGATGTCCTAACCAACCCACGGCTATTCCATCTCCATTGTCCATTGAGCCCGCTCTAAACAATCCCCCTTTTGCCGGATTATTGCCGATGTAATCATAAAAAGCTCATTTTTCAGGAATTTTAGACCAAGCTTCTGATAAACTTTGATTTTCGACTAGCCCAGCACCAACTCTTCGATATATTTCTTGCTGGAAATATCCCTGATCCCATTGATAACGAGTGGGACCAAATAATTCAATTGGGGTAGTTGCTGAACCATACCACATAGTTCCAGCAACAACAAAAGCTGCAAAAAAGACAGCAGCGATACTGCTGGAAAGGACGGTTTCAATATTTCCCATACGCAATCCTTTGTACAGACGTTGGGGTGGGGTTTACGAGTGTAGTTGGAGGATCTCATGGATGATCATCACCCAGAACTCACTCTCATCATCCCCCAACTCTTTCAGCCATTTCTGGACCTGTCGACCTCGTTTTTCGATGTCAAGGTCGTCAAGGTGGTTGTCTAGGATGAGCGAGACATCCTTTTTTTGTACACCTCCTACCAAAATCCATTGTTTTGGGAAAGTACGATAAATGAATGAGAGCTTCTTGCATTTCGTTGTACCGGCCAATCACCGTGACAAATGGCATCTTGAACGACGTACTAGCAGCTGGTCAATACGAGGCTGCCGCACGCCATTATATTGGTCAGATGCTGGTGCCATTGGGGTGGTCAACAAAAGAAAATGCTCGTGCTCGTAGCTCTCCACATATTTTTTTTAGGTAAGGAAGATGGATAGGAATTCTTGGACCTTGCTTCTTCGGGTTAAAAGCGAAATAGAACCGACGAGACTTGAAAGCTGCTTTCTACTGTGGCTTTCCCACCGACCTAAACTAGAATGCCGTTGCTTTAGCCATATCCTTAACGGCTTTTGGATTTAAATATCCTATATATTTCCATTAAACCCACTTCATCGATCTCACCTGCCTCTACCCATTTTACCAGGAAAAACTAGATTCTTTTTTGAATCACTTACAGAATCTATCTGAAAATGAAGGAAACCTTCTTAACCTATATTTGTATGACTAAAATCGAGTTGTATAAAACGTATGGTAAAGCATACATATACTGCCTGAGTCTGTGAGCAGCCCAAGCGAGTGCGCAGCAAGCACGTTCGTTCTAGTCTCATAATCGGTGAAGAAATAAGTTAGCAAAAAGAGGAGCAACAACAGGTTTTATTAAAGGACAGCTCATGATCTTTATCTCTATATATTATGACCCTCTCCATATAGCATTGGGTAGACCTCATATCATAACTTTACTAGGTCTACCATATCTTTCTTTTGTTTTCTTTTCTTTATCCCTTCAATCAAATCGGGATTCCTAGAATGACATCGGCTTCGAACCATCTCCAGCGGCTTTTGACAAAGACTGAGAATGCGACTCTCCCTATATCCATATATGGGCTTACAGCGCCTCTACCTTATTTGTGCAAGGCGGATTGCCTCTTCGCAACAGCAGCTTGTTCACCTGCCTTTCCTTCCTGCAGACAATATGGATCAAAGCCCTTCTCTTCCTCAACAGGGCATTCGTGCCGAACCCCTTCTTTCAATGTCTTGCCATTCTGAATGTGCAGCTCCTTCTGTCCATCTTCCTTCTACAATGGGATAATCGGCTTCAGAGTCCTCCTTCCTAGCTGCCTATTCTAGTGTCAAAAAGGCATTTGCAAGGTCTTTCCACTTACTAATTCCTAGCCCAGCTACAATTGCACAATTTATACAGAATGCTTTCATCTGTATTCAAAGCCATGAAGAAGATCTCCTGGATCTTGTGCCATTGAATGACGAAGTGGGGTTTAAGATTATGGATGTTGGTCAAGTCAAGCTGAAGATAAAGGTCTTTGTGGTAACCTAAGCCAGGCTTCCAAACGTAAACCAGGTACAAAACAGGTTTCCAACTCTTTACCACCTTCTGAACCTCCTTATTAGGCTAACCAAGTCCAGTCAGAGGTACTGGATAACCAGTTAGTTGGGATTAATCGACGTTCTCATCAGGAAAATGAGAGTCAGAAGTCTAAGCACCCAGGTAAAAATGCTAGGAATTGCTCGGTGTTGAAAACCTCGAAAGCCTTAGGAGTCAGGCAACATAAAGATGCTAAACTATCACCTCTCTCTATGAAGAAAGCGGAAGCCCAGGTGATGAGGCTGTTGACGAAAACTCTAATTTCAGATACTGACATGGAGGTAAACGAAGCCCCGAGGGTTGAGTCTATGTAATGAAGATGTTTTTGTTATCTTGTTTCTTTTTGGGCGTGGAATGGAATTTTCGTGTTGGAACTATAAAGATGCTTTTAGACCTAAATTCCTGCTGGCTTGTCAAAACTTGAAAAGTCAAGTGGAATCCCCCCTTGTTGGCCCTTTTTGGGATGAGAATGGATTTGATCTCGTTAGGTGGACTTGGCCGCTGTTATACTATATATCGACCTTGTTCTAATAACGCCTTCCTCATAGGACTTGTTCTTTCTTTCTGGTCTGTTCTTCTCTCGTACTCTCCCCAACAATCTGTAGTGCGCAACCTCTTAATAGGGAATCACACGTTCCTTTCTCTTCTGACTTATCTTCGGTCATTGGCGACTGGTTTCTTAGTGTGGCATGGATCTTCCCTACTTTCGACGTTGACGTTTATAGAATGGAGTCTGTTGGGCCAGGGTAAGAGTAATCTCTGTCTAATCACCGAGTCTGCATTCCAATTCGGTCACTGTTCGGATGGTGTTCACCTGACCGTTTACATGCTATTGTAATCGGCATGCTCCTTTATCAACTTAGGTTAGTGATTTGCTCTACTTTAGATCTCTCTTGTAGATGCGCTCTTTTTAGCTGCTTTCTTTGATTGGAAAACTCATGCTAGGGATTGGCCTGCCTCTGTATCCGCCTTACCAGCTTATACGAAGGAAGTCACTGAGAGACCAGATTCATCTAGGTTGGCTACTTATTTTGATTTGTTTTCTGCTTTGCTTTGGCTATTCTTCGATCTCGAAAGAGTGAAAATCCCCGCTTCCCTTGAACTTTCTTCTTTAAAGCCACGAGCCGGGAACTCAATTAAATCATTTAGCCGGGCATGAGCTCCCTCCTTGCTTTCTTTGCTTTTGGTGAGTTATTTTATCCTTTAGTGGAGCAGAACAGACAGCGCTTACCCGGCGAAGACAGAGTAAGTAGCAGCAAAGCAAGCCGGATAGACAGTTCTTGTCTCAGAGCTGGAGTTAGCGTCTTCCCATTACCTATGTAAGCTGTTCTTTGAGTTTGATGCTTACTTTCCCTCATAGTATAGGAGAACGAATGTAGTTAAAGAAGCTACCGAGTGAAGGAGATTTTGACTTGACTACCGTACGAGCGCTAAAGCCCCCTTTTTTTTTCCCTGCATTTCGGAATACCTGAAGTCATTGAGCAAAAGAGAGCTATCTATCTTTTTCGAGACTAGCCTTAGCGCCCTGAAAGGAGTTCGTTAGAGGAATCCCTTGCTTGTTGTTTTCTTGCCGGAGCTCGCTGGGTAGTGAAGTGGTCCGTGAAGGTTAAATCACACTTGTGTTAAGCAAGCCGAGTAGTCAGACTTCACATTGATTGAAGCAGCTGTTGGAGAGAAGACACCAGTCAGACCTGCAAGCACCGGGTAGTACGCAGCGGCAGTTTTCAATCATACAATGTGTACTCGTAGTCTGACTTTTAGCGGTAGTCAGCTGTCCTCGTTCTCCTCTTTTCATTGCCCTATTGAGTAAGGGTCGGTGTTTGCAAAAATGTCGAGCCGACGGGGTCAGGTACCAGTAGTGACAATGGCAAAGGGGGGGAGCTGGACACTGCTGAACCGGAAGAGATTGCTCAGGATGAGTGTCTGGGTAACAAAGCCGAGAAGGGTGTAGTCAAGGTGCGAGTTTAACGAGCGAGGAGAGTGATTTGGCCCATAGAAGCGAGGATCTGGAAGAAAGGGTTGGTTGATACTGGGTCAACTATGGCAGTGACTGAGGGGGACTTGTTCTGTGATAAACAAATGACTCCAAACAAGAACCTCAGGGCAGCCAATCCTAAGAAAAGAGGTGAACCTGAAGCAGTAAGAGTAAGCGTTCAGGTGCTGGTGCTATGACCTTTTTTCCACCTTTTTCGAATCGAATGATTCAGCGCTCTCAGAAAGCGGATCAAAGGCTTCCTATTCAACGGATTCGGATTATTCATTCTACTTTAGATGCTTCGGATGCTTCCTCGGCCGCGCAGTACGTACTTCTGTTTGGAGAGTCTGTTCCTTACTTAGCTAGGACTTTGAGTGACTAGAGTAGCCCCTCTGTATCCGAAGGCGCCTTTTTGTTTATGCACCTGAAACGGCTTCCGATTTGACTTACTTATAGTAAAGTGGATCGACCCCGTTCAGTAGAATTACGAAGAAAGAAGGCTAGGCTTCTTGAACCAGAGCTAATTCGATCTTCCCCTTTCGACAATGTGTTTGAATAGCAAGCAAAAGTACCACGACCGAACAATTCAATTCGGTTAACAAACTACTTCTAGAATGAACTACATCCATCAACCGGCATACCTTTCTTCTC